ACAACAACAAAGGACTAAAACTCAAAAGAGATGTACATCACTCGAGCAATAAACTGACCCAATACTAAAACAAATGCCTAGCAGGGAGAGTATATGAAAGAGGATGAGGCATAAACTGACCCAATACGAAAACAAATGCCTAGCAGGGAGAGTATATGAAAGAGGATGAGGCATAAACTGACCCAATACTAAAACAAATGAGGGAGAGTATATGAAAGAGGATGAGGCTGCAACTCTGGTGTGCATCTGGAACTGCATCTGAATGATTTGGCTTGTTGTTAACCAAATTGCGTGTGTTTATTTAAAGTACATGAACTTGGTATTGTTGTGTGCTTAAATTTACTATCATTGGAATCGCCGCATTACATGTATTGTGCTTAAATTTTTCCGAAGAGGCAAAGAGGTTATACAAAAGAGGCAAAGAGGTTATACAATCTCATATTAGTCACTGAATGTTTACAATACAAGTTATTTAAATATAAAACGTCTCACAAACTTTAAATATAAACTTAATAAATATAAGGAAATATATAATGAAATAATCCGGTCTAAATATTTACCTTTTATACTAATTAAATCCCAAATTGGATCAGGATTAGATCAACATTTGTGGTCGATGTGTACTTCTAGAGTGATATTCTATTTCACTATTCTAAATATATGTACAAATTTACTTTAGAGTTTTAGCAAAACGTTTAGTGGAATATAAATAAATAATTTTTATGTAACTTATATACTTAGTTATAATATATTGTTGAAATAGCAAATACTATTAATTAAATATTTTTTTAGTATAAAATTTGAAGTGACATTGTTGTTGGAGATGATTTTGAAATTTGGTACAAACATGACTGAATTTCGGGTCGGGTCGATGGTCAACGGATTCAAAATCACCGACTCAGAACTAGCCGGCCCGGCCCTATGTACACGACCCAACAGACTAGGCCGAGTCCGACCCGGATCCAGAATTCGTCCTTAAAAAATTTGAAAAAAAAAATCTATCATTGATTTCTTGGTTCGGCCCGCCTGGTCATATGTTGCATACATATGACCCTGAACCAGCCCAGTTTGAATCTAAGCATGGGCCTAGACCCGTTGACCACGGGTCTGACCGAGCTGTGTTCATGTCGATTCCGAGCCGGGTGACCCGTGGCCATGTTTATGTTCGAGCTTCTTTCAATAATTTAAACTCCATTTTGTAATTATTAGACAAGTAGTATATATTTATAAGTAATTTAAATAAAATAATACTGAGTAATTTTGTAAGGAGTTTGATGTGCAGTTGCAGGTCAATGAGCTCTCCCAGATCCCTCGACTGTTTGCTCGCTGGAGACCTGTATAGAATAATTTAGAGTATAGATTGAAATTAACCTTACATTCTTCCACATTTTACCTATTTATAGGGAGTTATTAGTTTCCTCATTACGCTTTGTTCTTCCTCCGTCAGATCATTTATTCCTTTTTTATCCTGACCTTACAAGTGTCCTTTGTGGACTACCCTTATAACCGTCATCGTAGGTCGCCTCTCCATGTACATGGTGCTTCTACAGGTCGACACCCTTCGCTGCAAAACGCCTTTAATATCCTATTACTAACTCGGTACTACAAGAACTCTTATTCATGTTTGTGTCCTAGTAAGGAGTGGTAGCACAGATGCCCGAGGCTCCCTCAAACCGAGCTACTCTTTGTATTATGACCTTTGCCGAGCTCCACATAAAAGTCTCTATATCTGAGTTCTTTCTAGGCCGAGCTACAGATACAAGTGGTTTTTTTTCTGGAATACAAGTTTGTAATAGGTAGTCATGTTTTGATACAGATTGATGATTTGTATATGTTACAATTCTGTTTGGTCTACAAAGGCGTAAGTCATATTTCAAAAGTATATATCACAAAAACATGCGAGTACATCATACACTTTGTTGCACATACAACACTTTTATGTTAATAAAAAATTTGGTTGTCATCTTACTCACATGTTAAGAAACATATGAGTACATTATACACTTCACATTAAACGACAGTCTAATTAGTGGCCAAAATAGTCGACATCAAGTAGTGCATCGGAAAAAATGGAATGGGATCTAAGTGGAGTGATTTGATCACACAAATAGCATGTGAAAATGGGTTCGTCAGTTTGAAATCTAATAAATGTGCAAATCTTTGATTGTATATTGACAATATAAGCTTTCCCATCGCATAATACCATGAACACTTTATCACTGACTTTTTTTACTTGACAGATAGACTATGTATATATAAAGTTTATAAAGAGGTTATTTTTAGTTTAAAAGGCGAATCATAAAAATATTTTCTCAATATCTCGAAAGTTAGAAATCACGAACGCAATCGATGTAAAATCAACACTAGAATAAGAAATAAGATGCGAATCATAAAAAACTTCTCTCAATATCTACAACAAATGCTTCTTACCCCCTCCATGAAGCTTGATACTTGCCCCTCCTTTCCACCCGGAGTTCAAAAACCTTCCCCCATTATACCCGCTATTTCTAGCCATCCGATTTCTCAAACATCATCCTCTCCAAAATTCACACAAAAAAACATAACAAAAACCCAAAATCACATAAAAAAAAAAGTTCAATTTTAGAGCCTATTTATCTAGAAGATCGCCCCTCCAATTCAATTAAGACAGCCAAAAATGGATCTCCGACATCTTTGCCGCAAAAATCGACCAAGACGCCTATAATGACTAAAAATTCCTTCGGGATCAACTTCAATCCCTGCCGGGGGAAGAGGGTGCGGTCCTACCAGATGAAGCTAAGAGGGTGAGTCTATATGCACCATAGTAAGGTTCCATCTCAAAACCAATTGGTGATGAGAGGAGTAGTCCAGTAGGCTGATATACTAGGCTCATTTATCATGTAGAATCGATGTGAGATGACTCACAAGTGATATTCCAATAATTGCTAGAAGGCCGGACCATCTCTTTTTCAGACGGCATTACCACTTCTTCGGTCGCTTCTCTATCCGACACCGCTAAAGAAAGCCATGGGAGATGACAAGGGAGAGAGACAAATATGAGAAATTGAGAGGTTATTCGTCGAGAAGAGAGAGAAAGAGTGGGAGAAAGACAAATATGAGAAATTGAGAAGTTATTCGTCAAGGAGAGAGAGAGATTATATGTTACTACATATAATAATTTTCTTTCTTTCATTAATCAGTTGCCGTTTCTTAGGGAGTACACGTTTCTCATTTGAAAAACAAATTTTATGCATTAGTATATTTATTAATTTATTTTCGAAGAATTGGGTATTAATATAAATTCTTTGTTTCTAAACTTAAATGTGCATTTACTTACAAAAAGTACAGGATGTATGTAAAATAGCCTACATTTAATCTGTTGAGTTACTATTGGATACATAGACACCATTCTTAAAATTACTTTCTAGGAGTCAGCTAGCACCAATCAATTTAAGTTGTATTTAGTTTGAAGATGAAGTTGGTAATGGGCTCTTTGTAGTCAAGGTGAGACATGATTGAAGTTGATTTTGAAGAGTCCATATATTTACTGATGTTGATGGCTGCAGGGAGTGGGCCCTATTAACCTCATGGTCCAATTTTTGCCCCACAAAAATGCGTATAAATGATCGTTCAAAGTTCAGACACATTTATGCTCCGTGATTTATTTGAAACGTCCAACCAATTACACTATGACCCCCACACACTGTGAAATTAGACATGGCCAACTTCCGGGCCGGTCCACAGCCCGGCCCGGCCCGCCGACCTCAAATGTTGGGACCCAAACTGGCCCGACTTTAGCTAAGGGCCGGTTTTTTTATATCAAATTATGAAAAATATTTTTATAAATGGTTTCGACAAATGTGAAAATATTTCAAAATTAGCTACTTTTAGTCCAAATATATTTGAAGTGAATTATAAGATTGTTGCGTAAAAAAAAAAAAATGTAAATACCTTAATGTAGAGTCATACCAATCTATGAAAACTCATAAGAATTACTATTAATGTATATTTTTATATTTATACTTTGTTATAATGTATTCCATTTCTTTTCTTAAAACAAGTAGGCCCTCAATCATTTTATGAGATAGATTCGTCCATAATCGGCCGGTTCAATAGGTTGGGCTGAAAACCAGTTAATTGATCGGTCTAAATTGTTGGAATGAACCGATTGCTAGCACACCGACCAAGAATTGACCGGTCAAACCAACTTGAAGAGGTTCTTATTTTTTTTAAAAAAAACATGAATTTTAGCAATTCTGGTTCAACGCAAAATCAAAACCGAACTAAATAAAACCAAAATATGAATTTATGAAAAATAGTAGTCGAACACCATCATAATATAAGAAAAAATCGAATCGAAACCAAACCAAAAATTACTCATATTTAATAATAATAATAATAATAATAATGAAAAACTCATCGAATTCCACAGTTTGACTCTTTTTTTATTTGGCATAGTTCTCGCTCACCCATAAGATACGTGTACTCCATGCCAAAATTACTTTACTACTTGTGTGAAATAAAGATTGAGAGCTTTTTCCCCAGCTAATCAAACAGACTAGTACTGGCAAAGACAAACAAATAAATCGGGACTTTTGATAAAGTCTAAAATTGGTACAATTTTTTTTTTTCCCCTTCCCAACATTCTTTATCACTTATTTATTTTATTAAATTAAAAACCAAAGGATTTTGACAATAATTATTATCTACTCATCTGTATATAACCGGCTCAGATGATCTCTGCCGCTTGTTTGCTTGGTCAGCTTCGTCGGCATCCGAGCCAGACGAAGGTAGAGTCTCCGGTTGGGACTCACAGCTGGCACAAGTCGCTGCCTCAAGGACGCCTAGGGGACTCGGCGGCTCAACAGGGTCAATGCTTAGTACTTTGGACGGACACGCGTCGAACAGGTATTCGCCCATCAGTTGGTGACAGCTCCTCACCATTTCCTGCCAAAAAATAAAAAATAAAAATAAAAGAAAAGGAAAACAACAAAACATAAATTTATTACTTTTTACCCCCTGAAAATTAGAAATTATTAGTTACAATTCCAATCCGAACAGACCAGAAAGTTCGAAAATAACGAATCCAGCCCACCAGAGCTTACCCTGCTTATCCTCGCATCAAGGGTATCCGGCAGGTCCATGCCCTCGCCGGCGGCCGCAATCACGGCGGCTGCGGCCACTATCGACGGCGGAAATCCGAGAAAATCTATCACTGTTTTATGCGAATTTTTATTATTAAAGAAAATAGTTGGCGGCAAAATCAAACCACAGAAATTCAATTCGTTTACCGCGGGTGGTCTTGAGGATAATGCCGGAAGCGAGGCCAAAAATGGCGGAAACTGAACCGGAGCCGGCGGCCGGCGGGCGGAGCATGGCGATGAAATAATTGAGAAAATCAAACGGAGTTACGGAGCGGAGGATCCATTTGAGCGTCGCCAGCACCAGAAGCTCCATCCTCTGCACTGTTCCCGGCTCGAAAACCTGCGCCCGCTCAAGCACTTGCAGCTCCAAAAGCAGCGGGACGCGCGTTTCCTCCATTTTCGCCGCCAGAGATAAACACGCCACCATCAGAAGGTGAAACGCCCATCTGGTTTCCTAAAAATTGCACCCAAAAAAAAAGAAAAAAAAATCTCTGCTAAATTTATCAAGAAAAAGTTCCGTACACAAAATTTTTTCTGGAGTGTCGGTAGACTGGAAGAGTTACCAGCAGAGTACGAGAGGATAAAAATCGATCGAAGTAGCTGATGGAGAGAAAAGCGGTCGCCGGCTTGAATCCAAAATGCGCTCGAGCCTTGGATGATTATTGAGCGATCGAAAGATTAATTATCGGCGCAATTACTGAAGAAAAAATAGGAGTGATTGAAAAATAGCCAATACCTGGAGGATGGAGTTGATCGAGTCCTGGCGCAAGGTGCGTAGACGGGAGCGGCTCCGGCAGAGGCGGACGTAATCGGGTCGGGGCACGTGGCGGAGCTCCGAATCCAGAATCCGATCGACGAAGAAGGACTCGTCGGAGAGCGGCGGCGGCGTCGGGGGGAGGTCGGCGGATCTGGCGGCGGCTAGTTCCTCTAAGGAGAGAGGCTGAGGGGCGGAATCGAGGCGGTGGGACATGGCGGAGGAGAGGATGGAGTCAGAGGCGGCGGCGGCGGCTGGATGAGACGGAGGAGGGCATCGGTGGTGGTGGGGAAGGGATGGGTAGAAATAGATATGGTGATTGGTGGTTTATGCAATTGTGGCAAGGACATTTTTGGAGTTGGATTTCTCTCTCACACGGTAGTGCGTGTTGGATTTTCTCTATCTAGTAGTGAGGAAGGCAAGTGAGCAGAGCAGCAACCTGAGAGAGAGAGAGAGAGTGGTGGGGAGTAAGTGAGAGATAATGGAGATTTTAGATTTCATAACATATTAAACATTTACTAATTACCATCAAAATAAAATATATTATTTAAAAAATTAGTGAAATATCATTTATGAAATAAAAAGTGATTAATATTGTTTTATTATATTTTTTATCATTTATTTAAATTTAAACTTGTTTAAATTAGTAAAGTTGTAAATAATAATTGTATTATAATGTACAATTTAATAAATTTAATTAAGATAATTAATATTTTTTACAATTTAAGGCAGACAAACATGCAATATATTAGATGGTTATCACTCTATAAGTTATTCATTATTCACTTTATATTTATTTTTATGATTTTAAATAAGAATGTAAATATTATTATATTATTTTTTATTATACAATATTTTTTTTACAAATACCCATGTAGTACGCGATGTCGTACTAGTTTGTTTTTATTTGTAATTCTCAAAATGTTGATAAAATTTGTTAATTAATTACATGAATTGTGAGTGATAAGTATTAACGTTGACAATTATAAACTTTTTTTTTTGTGAAAATGAACCACAGTTTATTCATTTAATCAAAATTAAAATTAAATAAATCAACTAAAGGAAAATTAAGAATAAACTTATGCACATTAGTGAAAATGTTTTATAATTATTATATTGCATAGAATGTTTTGTAACTATTTTGTAATCCATCATTCAACAAATATAGAATGTTTTATATTTATTTTCTAATCCATCATTCAACAATTCACTATATAGTTCTAAAATTGATGGAAAATATTTTATAATCTTTATCTAATCCATCCTGTGGAAATTTTATAATTACTATTTCTAGTCAAAACCATTTCAAGTTTGAAATGGAATACTATAAGATAGGTGGCTAACTAGAACAATTCAACCATATTTAGCAAATAATTCGTTTAAATAATAGCTTAATCCAACTAAAAATCATCGAATAATAAAAATGATTCAAGATAGTTGTAAGGCATATTATTGGCATAAAATTTTGTTAAAAATTACTAATTTTTGTTAAAATATCATTTTGTAAATATTTTAATCTTACAAAATACTCTTAAATTAGAATTATCGTTAAACAAAATACAATCTCTTAAATTAAAATTATCGGTAAACTTCACATCGAAAATCTTACCACACTATATTCATTCTTTTATGTACATTAAAAAATCGTAACACACTACAAGAGTATATATATGCATGATTTTTAGTTGGTTTTATTGTTGTGTTATGAGTATATATAATTATTTATTTAGCTTATCATATATTGTAGATGCTAATAAAGAGATGATTCATTTGATAGGTTATATGTGGAAATTGATAATAAAAATAAAGTTACTTTAAAATATATTTACAATTTACAAAGTTAGTAAAGTACTATATTATAGTTTAAAAAATTGAAAGAAAAAGAAATACAAGCAAAAAATTTCATTCCTTATAAATCACAATACGAAACTTTTTTAAAACACAATTAATTATAATAAAAATGGCTGTAAATGTTGTTGTGACCATTTTGTTACGTTTTTCATTACTGTTTTGTTATTCTTTTTCTCCCGTTTTAGGTCTTTTAGTTGATTTTTAGTTCGTTTTGTAGGTTATTGTGTGTTTTGCTCTATTTTGGCTTTTGATGTGTTTTTCGTGTATTTCTGTCGGTTTTCTACGTTTTTCTTTTTGTTTTTGGTGTGCAAGGCAGAAGCCCCGTGAGAAATAGATGTAGCCCGAAAATCGACTGAGCAACCATAGTTGAGTATAAGAGTTTGTTGGCGACATATAGGAAGAAGCGGAGCTCAATTTTGAGCTTGGACGGGTCCGAACGGACCCAAAATGCGAAGTCGCGTGAAACATGTCTTTAGTGTGCTGGTCATGAGCTTTGAGAGAATTGGATTTCAAGAATATTTTGACCATGCAAGCATCATTGAATAGAGGAGTTAGTTAGTGACGCCTAGGAAAAAACGAAACTCAATTCCGAGTTCGGACGAGCCCAAATGAGCTCAAAATGCAAAGTCGCGCAGCCCAACCCTCCTTAGCGGCGCTAGGAAATCTTAACGGGGCCAGAGAGGTTGTACTAAAATGGTTAGCGGCCTCTAAGGGGGGTTAGCGCCCGCTAACCCTGTCTGGCAGACAATGCATTTTTTCCTTAATTTCTGCTTATTTTTGGGAGAAGTGGGAGACATTGTGGCATGATTCTTGGACGACATTCACCTAAAAAATGGGTTTTGGAGACCTTATGAAAACCCTCTCCCTCATTCTCTACCTCACCCAAGGGGGTTCTCGTTGGATTTCAGTCGTACGAATCAATCGCACACGCAGCGGAATTTTAAAATTTTCTTACCAACAATGAAGATCCGGCTATAGCTATTCGATTTGATCATAGATCTGCGAGAACTTACAGTTTAAGCTTTGCCTTCAACTATGGTTCCACGCAACCTAGATCCCGGTGCACGATCCAAGCAGTGAATCCTTTCCGGTGAAGACGCTAGGAGTCCTCAGTCAGAAAGCAAAGAGAGCTTTTGTGTTTTTACGGCGTATCTCAATTATCTGATCTCTACATCTGATATGAGATAACCGCCTATTTATAATTAGGCTAAACCTAATTATATGGGCTTTAGGAAAACCTATAGCCCAATAGGCAATTGGACCTAATCCAATTAATAATATAATTAAGTCTAAGTCTAATTAAAACTTAATTATATATTTTCTATCGAATAGAAAATAATCTAATTATTAAAATTAAATATTCCAATCTAATTGAATATTTAACACTCTCGATTCACTTTTAGACGGAAAATGGATTGCATATTGTGTGACCCTATAGGCCTTCATATATTGACATAAATCCGATTTATGATCCTCACGAAACTCCTAGACTGCGTCGAAGGACGAACTCAAAATATGAAGTACGTTTACATAGACAAAGCAAACAAACCTTTGGTGTAGAATTCAATAGTGATACGGTCCCTTCATTCACGAACCACTCGATTAAGCTTAGGATTTGAACGTGTGTCTATTCAAACAGCTTAATCATTTTATCTCATCTCACTGGTTGATTTTATCAATTATACTTGAACACTATTTCAAATATAATCACGTGCATTGGCCAATGACTTTATCAACCTAGTATAGAGAAAACGAGTGTTCTCTCGAAACTATATTCGAGGAATGAATCCTATCTTGGCTCAACTACCAATTCCATGTATATCGTGACCTACCCAACACAAGCCCGTATCTACCCATAAGGGCGTAAGCTTTGGACTAGGTCTAAGTAAATCACTCTATACATGAATTGCGTATCGACCTCAAGTCAAAGGACTATTACACCATTCCACACACCGATACTCCCATAGACACATAAACAAATGGTTTATCGGTAGGGTATACCAATACTCTCCAAAGTATCCATGTGTCCATTACGAATAACAATTATTCATAGTAGTGAGACATACTATATTCTCAAAGAATGTGATGCAGACCACATGTCAATCTATCACGTATCATTAATATCCCTTTTCTTAATGATCATCGATTGAGGTAATTTAAGAGTTATACTCTATCAATTAACATCTCACTCTGTTAATGACAGTATTAACTCAAGAGAGCCATTAATTAATAAATTACAGACAATCAAAAGAATTCATCAATTAATGCAAAACCATGAATATCATCAAATATAATATGAATGTGATCAAGTACATTTGTCCCAAAATTGATTGTTTCTAGGACACATATACTAACAGTTCTCCCCCATCTTCTCTTTCTCCATTTTCTCCCTCTCTTTCTCCTCTCTTCTTTTCTCTTTTCTTTTCTTCTTCTTGTATTTTTCTTCTCTTCTTCATTTTCTTTCATTTTGTCTTTTAAATGAAGCTTGTTTTTGAACTCAACACTTGGAGCTTGAATTGTAAGTTTATTTTTTCTTTCAATTAATTCATGCAAAATGGTTAATTTAGGAGAAATGTTTTGTTGTGTTGAATTTGATATGAGTAACTAATCCTCTAGTTATGGTTAGGGGATAATTATTTTGGTTCGTTCTCGTTTATGTGCATGACGATAGCTCAATCTTTGTGAGTTGTTAGGGGATAATTAAGAATTGATAAATTCATGCTTGATAATTCGATATAACCTAAGAGTGACACTTAGGAAAATTTATTCGAAGAGTGACACTTCGATTTTGTACGATTTAATATTGATTTATTGTCTATTTGTTAATTGTTTCGTTAATTTGCTCGTTTATGTTTATCCGCATGTTACGAAGAGTTATTGAATTTAAACCGCTAAATGAGTTAATTAGTCGGGCCTTTTAACCGAGTTATTGATTGCGTTAAATGTGTGTAGAACGAGAAGCGATTGTCCCCGATTCCCTAGCTTCTTTATCTTTTTGTCGTTTATATTTTTAGGTAGATTGTTGTTTATTTGATTTCTTAATTAATAATTCATTCAAAACCAATCTTTTGATTAGAATGTTTATGATTTATTTTCCTTTTGTTTGTTATCAATACTAATTCTAGATTCCAAACCGCCTTCCTCGAGAGATCGACCCGGAGAACGAATCATTCGATTCGGTGCTCAGTAAAATAAAAATAATTTGGTACAACAAATATCAAATATATTTATATGTATAATTCGAAGCCTAATTATTTATGGACTTGAAATTAAAAGTTATCCACGTCAAATGACGAGTACTAAAAAATAAAAATCGACAATTCAAAGTAAATCGACTATTACTACTGCAACACCTCAAGCATACATACATCATTTACAAATCATCAAGATTCATATTTCCTCTTCATTCACTTGCTCTATACAAAAGCCAATTCTCCACACACTCACACACACACACATATCTTCTGCAAACATAGCTCACTGTTGCATGTTTTCCATGCAAATCAACATTCTTAACTCCATCGAGTATTAAATTAGTGCGAAGGGAAATACTTAGAGAGTCCATACGGAAGTGAATAAAATTCCGCGCTCCTCGGGTCCTTGTCGAAATCCTTGAACTTGGCCCACCAGTGACGCCCACTGTCTCTTCTGGTTGACCCGTGTTTGCGCGCGACTGTGAGGTCGAGAAAGTAGGCAACTAAACCGGCCACCACTGCTGGGGATGTAAATATCACTAGCATCATTTTGTTGAACTGCAAAACGACACGAAAAAACAACGAAAAAATTATAAGTACAATAGAACACCTGCAAATTAGTAGGGCTATGTTTGGTAAAGCTAGTTGATAGCTGATAAGTTAGCTTATAGGTTTTAAGTGAATTTTAAGCTTATAGCTGATAGCTTATGATTTATGGCTGAAAAACTAGCTTATAGCCTTATATAATAAAAGTTTTTGGTAAAATTAGTTGATAAGGTAGTTGAAATAAAAATTCTAACGAGCTTATTTGAAATCTACCCATAAGGTCGAGCTTTTTAAAAAAGCTCGTTCTACCAAATGACACTTATTTAATATAGGAAGCTTATAAGTCATCATATTTGACTACCAAACATAGGCTAGTTCTCGACAGAAGAAGAGACGGTGATTATTGGGCCGGCAAAATTACATACATACCCATATAGAATGAGTGTGGACTGGGCCATGACCCGAAGTCAAGACATAGTTGCTGAAATACCTCGGCACCGAGAGGCCCATGAAGTAGGAAAAGCCTATGATGAACTTTGTTCTGAAGCTGTTGAGGTTGCAATATTGCAGTAAGCCGAGACTTGCAGATGCTGCACAAATAAAAAACCGAAAAATTATATCAAATGTGACGATCATTTACGAAACTCAATGAGATACAGATATGTGACGAGTTCATACACATGAGAGCAAACAGGACGCAATACAAAGCACCAACTATTGGCAGTGGAATGGAAGCGACAATAGCTCCGAACTTTCCTGTTTTATGAGAATGGAAATGAGTGGAAAGTATAGATCATAATAAGCATGGTATATAAAAGCAACTAAACTGTAAGAACTTGAATGACGAACCGAAGATCGAAAAGAAAAGCATGAAAAGGGCTGAAATCTGAATCACCCTTCGGCTTCCAACTCGTGTAAGAGCCAGTAATCCTACATTTTCACTGCACTAGGCGGAATGAGAATCAGAATACTATAAAATTTAAATATTAACGTTAGTAAATTTTCAAGTTTGGATTATATTGCCGAAGATTATTGACCAATTGGTTAAGTTGCATTACACTGATACAGTCGATCCACATCCTGTACCGAATAGACCATCGAGAAGCATACCAACTCCCTAGATGCACCAAAAGAAGAAATAAAATACAGTGGGAACGGCAAATCCATATCATAGATGGAGAATAAAGAAAAAGATGGTGATATATATATGTGTGTGTGTGTGTTAAGCTTTCTTCCTACCAGCCATCCAATCCCTCGGCTAATAACAGAAGCTGGAGGATGAGTAGCACTTCCATATCTAGCTGCAGCAATAAATGCCCCAGTCGACTGAGCCATGGAGAAAAATGTAAATGGAGAAGTTTAGTGGGGAGAAAGAAGAAATGAAATAGAAAATAGCATCATAAACGGTCAAATATCTGTAACAAGCACCGTTCGGCAAACAAATTGTTTTGATGAAATAAAAATGACAAAATTCGGAAATATTAGATGTGAACCTCGACCATGGCAACAAAAGCTGCTGCTAGCATGACAAGGACTTCTCCAACATGTAGACTTGGTCGACCCCACTGAATCGGGTACGGAAGGGTAATCCTGCATATTATAAATTAAGCACAAATATTCACAGTCAGCTTTGCAGCAACAATTTCAAATATTACTTAGTATTTTTTAAGAATAAATGTTACTGGAAAAAGGAATATTAAGTATCACATTTGCTAGAAACTGATGAGAGGAATAAATACATGATTTCAAGAGTGCAACAGTGTATGAACTTACCATGAGGATACCCTTACAAGTCCCGAACTATCCACACGGCAACTTAACTGAGTGTTCAGTGACCGATATCTGTATGCACCGGCCACTGTAAGAAGGGCTGCATAAGCCCATACTATCCCCACTGATAATAGGACGGCATAACGGTCATAAATCGGGCGCTTCGAACTCAACATGTGAGGGATGTACTGCCACAAAATGTTTTTAACACCCCACGAGTCAATTACTAAATAATTGCATCTTGAATAATAATTTTCGTTTTTTTTCTTTAAGCTAGGAAATCTGTAAGCCTCAAAACAAAATCCCAAGTGATTCTTCATTCATATAATTTGATGCTTGGGCAAACACAAAAACTTAGGAATATTATCTTCTAAACCTCTTGAAAAAGAAGCAGAGGTTAAATTGTTGATGTAATTGTGTGGGATTACATGAAGAGAAGACAGCCTAGGGTAACTAATTAGTTATAATAAAAATAAAAATATATACACTTACATGAGAAAACAAAACGAGAATAATTAGTTCCGGAAGCCCAATTTCCACACATTCTGCAAGCTACCAAAGCATCAACCAACAAAAATGAAAACAATATGTGAGATGCTTTCAGTAGGTATACTTGTGTTAAGGTCGTAATAGGCATATAAAAAATCTGAATCAAAACATTAGGGTACTTGATAGTAAAAGTTTGGTAAACAAACAGCTCAATAGTAGCAATTTTACTAAAAATGAAATTTGACATTTGGGACTTGTATATAATGTTGTTCTAAGAAGATCTCACCAGTGGGAATCCCTGTTCATAGAGACCGAGTCCAACAAGAGCCACTAGAGGCACAGAAGAAAGTGGACTCAAGAACCTAGATTGTTATACTAGTATAGTTAAGTATTTTAAGTCATGAATTATTAAAACATATACCAACAATTAACCAGACTAAAAAAAATCATATTTAACTATTTACCTCACAACAATTCTCCAGAGTCCGAGGAAACCAAGCAACATGGGGAGTATGGAGGCGAACATGAGGGCGCCTTGTATTGCCCTCATCGTCCGAATAAACCTCTTAACCAATGATAGGAGAAAAAAAAATATAACATTTTAGAAAATTGTGGTTTAATTCTTCAAATACAGCCATTGCATGGAAAAACAAAAGAGATGTGGGAAGCTAACCAAATAAGGATGAAAATTGAAGAAATATCTCCCGGCAAAAGCGACATATAGAGACGGGACAATGAATCTAAATGAGCCACCAATGACCACAGGCAGCCGGGTCCCGAACCAGGTCTGTAACAATGTGTTGAGCCCAGAAACAAACAGCAGAGTTTGTATCACTTGAGCCTTCTCCAACTGGTGAAAGATTAATATATATTAGCTTCAATTGAATAATTACAAACACAAAGCTGTATATATAAAACAGATTATCTTGATTGAGTGATGAGAAGAAAAGACTAACATTGGTACCACCCATGTAAGGTACAATTATGGTGGGAATTATCACAGTGGTCCCAAGCATTACCAAATAGTGCTGAAATCCAAGAATAATTGCTTGAACTGCACAAAATTAATTTTTCCAGATATTAGAAACAGATTTCTTAGCTCTTTCCAAAAAATTGAACCAAAAAAAAAAAAAAATGCAATTAGGAAGTCATACTAATATACAAAATATCCTGTTAGACTGCATAATGGTTTGCAAAGACAAATGCCATATTTTTATTATATTATTTTCTTAAAATACGATGTACGAGTATGACCGTATGTAAATTTGTTGAAACAGTACCATTAGGCAGCCGATCGGCAGCATTACTAACTAATACAACAGGCAACAATTTTTAAACTTCAGGCATTGTTTTTAATTTATTGAATTTAAAAAAAAAAAAAATCAATTACGTATTCACGCGATTGTTAGCAAAGATTGACCTCAATCACCCCAAACAACGGAAGATAAAATTCTCACAAACAGAGCTGAACAAGAAAAATCATCTACCAATACAAAATTTGCATGCGATGAAACTTCAAAATCCTATTGTTTGTATGAAATGAATAATGGCCGCCAATGAAATGCGCACGCCCAAAATGCGTGAGAGAGAGAGAAAGAATTGTGCTTACGCCATGAAGGATTGCTGTTGACGCAGAAATCGACGCCGGGGAGCTGGTCCTTGACAGGGTGAGGCGCCGATTCATCCGCCGCCTTGGCTGCCGTCGCCGTCGCCGCCGTCATCCTCGCGACCACCACGGCTCCGCCCAGGTGAGTGCAACTGCAAAACTCAGATGGTGGAATTTCATATGGAGCCCCTTGAATTCCTCTTATATATACAGTATACACATTGGGAGTCGTGTTGAGCTGGTTAAACCACTGTTATTCTACTGTTACATTTTCTTTTCCCACTATAATTTCTTTTTTTTCCATTTTTAAATTAGATATTAATTGTATTTTTGTTTTTATTTTTCTTTAATCATCGGTACTAATTGTCCGCGAATCTTACAATGGATTGACGGTTATTTTTCTTGTTTACTTTTGTGTAAGGGCGTTTGGTTTTATTCTATTTGAGGGATATTTTTATGTTGAAGACCTCATTGGAATTTTCAAATGTAAATGCAATTAGATGCAGATTGGGCATCATAATAGTGTAACGTACCATTTTAATTTATACACGATCTTAATATTGCAAAATAGTCAAAAATTGGAATTAATTCTGTAAATACAAATGTTAACTATCATTTGGTAGTAGACTCATCATATCATCATAATGTTTACATAGCCAAATATTAGCGGGAATCACACTGAAACACACGATTCAACTCGATTTTTGTTTTATCTCGTTTTTATATATATTTTATTTAATTTGATATTGCTCGGTGCAAAACCGCACAAAAACGAATAGAATCGAAAACCGGATTTATGAAAAGTAATAACCGCACAACATCGAACTGCAGTGTAAAAAAAAAACCTAGCCAAAATTTTTTAGATTTAATAAACATAACTGAATTGTACGGTTCGACTCGATTTTGCTCACCTCTATGACTATAACTACTTAGGAGTAGAATTTTCTTATACCCCCAAATCTCGCTGTTACTCTATGCAACCATACTTTATTATGAAAAATGTGTATTTATACTATAAAATATTATAATTTTATATACATTATATTTTATGGTATGGTATTTGAAGACGTATTGTTTTATAAAAATATTGTGTCCTACTATTATATTGTGGACCTTGATCCATTATGCTTGGTGAAACTTGCGAAAAATTTAGTAAATTATCCCCCGTTGCCCTATTGTACATCACTTTTATCTATGTTAATTAATTATACACATAGTATTTGTAGACAATAAATTTATCAAAGGTATGCTATTGAGCAAACATTGAAACCAGATAATACTTGAAATCATAATATACAACAAAGTTATACTTAATGTGCGTCACTTTTAATCATAATTTACATCTGTCTTTCTTTTTATAAGAGTGACTAACCAATGTTAAATAGGTCCTTACACTAAGAGCATCTCCAATGCTCCATTTTGAACATTAATTAAATTTGAACACATGTCAAATGATGAATGGAATGTAAATCCATGTAATATGAATGTCAAAAGAGAAGACTTTAACTTGGAATGCACATCTCCAATGCATCCCTTTCAAAAGTTTAAAATAGGTTAGATTTTTGGTGAGTTGGCTTTCAAACACTCTTTGAAAAACTAGAAAGTGGGCTTCACACTTTGGATGTTTATTGTCTCCATGTCAGCATAAAAGAGTCCATAACATTATGGATTGGAGATTAATTTTTGTTTTCACTTTATAACTTGATGATGTGGCTAACATTTTATTAAGTCAACATCTCACATTGGAGATGCTCTAACAAAACGATCAATGATAAAACAACGTTGTTATGAGAACATTTTCCACCACTATTTATCTCAAATTAATTGCCTTCCAATTTAAATATTCAATTCATTAATTTTAACCGTTTTGACTTTCATCACTTTTGTTTTAATTCAAAAGGCATCAACTTTTATATTTTCCATCAAAGGTAATTTGACTCCAAGAATTTGGTCTTTCCAACATAAAGAGAACCCTCAAAAGAGGAAAAATAAAAAGAAAATTTCATACTATTTCCCAAATTTTGAAAAAATAAAAAACGCAAAAACATGGTTAGGCAAAAGAAGTTGGAAAATTGAGATCAGAGAGCCAATCACAACCGTCTTAACTACTTTTTGTTGAGGAAGTTGAGACGATTCTTTCTTTATCACTGCAAATTCTTGTGATAAGTCACCAACTAAATACTGCAACTTATTATACTTTTTCCTTCTTTCTTTACTTTTTCATATTTAGAAATAGTTCATAATCAAAGAACCAACTCGGACACGCCAAGTACTTTTATATTTAGCAAGCGAAATTTGGCGTGAATTTGAAGTTGGTGGCATTATAATGTATAACATTATATCTCACCATGACATCATAACCTTTTTCTTATAATAATTACAAAAATTTCAATCCATAAACATAAAATTTGAAGTTGTATGGGACTGATGTGGTATATAGATCTTGTTATAAAAGCCATGGTTAAACAATAAATAATTTAAGATGGAACTATACATAAGATTATAGGAATATGCTACAATGACATAAAAAATTATATAAATTCTGACATAATAACACGCGTTACGATCATATTACTTTTCAAATCAACAACCATTATACATCCACCTCATATTTGGTCACCCATTAATGTCACACTATTATATTAAAATAGCTTTATCTTAATACTAAACACGAAGTAATGATAGTTTATACACTTCTAAACAAACCGCCGGGATGAGAATTAGTTTCTGCCGACGCCATACTTGTTGACCGAATCAAAGAACCGTCTGTATTCAACTTAACCATTCCCGCCATCGACGCACTCCATGCAACCCAACACATTTGACGGCCCATGGCCAGACCTCCCAAACGCTTTTCAGCCAAAACCGCCATGTCGACATTGCGTTACGATGCCTTGGGACGTTCTGTCTAGTACACGTGTCGGTTGCAAGAGGGGCTTCTCCGCATCTGACCCTCGTATTCCTCCCTTTATTATGCCACTAAACCAACCTTCAGATTGTCTGATTCCACGATTAACAAATTTATAATCAATTATTTAAAATTCACAAAACACATAACTTATATTACTTAAAAATTGTTAAAACACCCCAAAAACACATGGAAAATAAATAAATTAGTAAATCATTTATTTTTTTCAGTTCAACTAATTTATTTACCAGTATAATATTCTTTGAATTTTATATAAAAATATTATAACATTGCTAGAAATGAATAGTTTACCACCATTTTGTTAGTAAGATTCTCAAAACTAAATAGGTTTTTTGCGAATCGCAATATTAATTTTTAAAAATTTGGTTTAGTGCAATTATTAATAAAATTAAAGGATATTTTTTAAATCTTTGAGTATATTTTTGGTATATGGCTCGTTAACAAATGAATAGAAAATCAGTTGGAATTGTTATCAATGTTGATATATCAATTATGTTGTAGTATTGTAGTAGTTATATCAATAATATTTTTGCAATTGCTTTCTAAATATATTTTGTACTTATAATTTGTAATGTTCTCACGTATATTTCGGTCTACATATAGTGGATGCCCAACAAAGCAGGAGAACGCATGATTTGTTAGTAAAGATAAATATTGGTCTATTACTAATGATAATTAGTTAAAATTTTTTGATAGTGCAAATTTGCGTTTACAATCTTTGAAAAACTAAATTGATTGAGTTAGTGATAAATTAAATGATTCTAAACTAATCATCTTGATTAAATTATTAAGATACGATAAAAAATATTTTCGATTGGTTATCAAATGAATAAGAAATCACTATAATTTGTTAATTTGTTATTAATGTTGATAAATAAGATTCTATTATGACATTATAATAAGTATCATAATAATTATTTTAATTTATTTATAATTTTTATTTTGTAACTATTTTGGCAATTTTATCATGCATATTCAAATAATATTTTTTTAAAAAACAAAACCTATTTAATAGAAACTTTTTTGAAGACATGTTGTATGGTTGCTTATATAAAAGTAAGAAATTGTAGTGATTCATAATTAATATGAAAAATCAAATTTTTATTGCAATAATATCACAGAATAATTATCAAAATTAATACCACATTATCTATATAGAAAGTTGTGATATTAACCGAATTGCATGATTTACAACGAATATATATAATTTGATTTTTATTTTTTTAATAAATATTAAAATAATTTTTACTATATTTCTGTAATAATAAGTTAACATATGTAATTACAAAGTCAAAATTACTATTATTTCATACATCTAACTTCTTTCAATAGATTTCAATTTGAACTCGAAGAGTTTAACATATACTAGTTTTATCCCGTGCATTTGCACGCAAACCAATATAATAGAAGAGAAAATAATAAAAAATATAAATAAAAATCATAACTTATAAATGATAAAAAAATAATTTAAAAAAATGAATCTAAATGTTATTAAACACTTCTTTATATACAATATTCGTGGTTTTCCTATCGTCAGAATTCCCATCACAACAAATCATTATCGTTAACTCCTTCAACTCGTGACTCTAAGATTTAATTTTTCAAATTATTTTATGTATCTTGTAATATCCAAAAAAATATATTTTTATTATTGTATGAATGCAATAGAAAATAAAAATATTTGTAGTCATTCTTATTTAGTTTTGAAATATGTAGTTATATAATACCAAAAATATATAGTATCAAAATAAAAACTATTTTTTTTTTGTATTTCAGGACATAAAAAGACGTTACAGAAATGAGCACCATTCAAAATGGGACTTCTCAAAATAAACTGTGTAACTGAAAGCTACATAATGGTGAACATATTTTTATTAAATGAATATATATTTTTATTATATTATTATTAATTGTTGTCTGAATAAAATTTATTGAAACTTGACAACAATTGTATATAAATCTATCATTATATAAAAAGAATAACCTTTTTATAAATTTAGAAAGTTTTTTTGCCATAATCATTAAATATATCCTAATTATAGTAATAGTTGGACAATTGTGAATAAGCACAAAAAACGGTTCTTTAATTGCAGTGTTTTCTTAATTCTAGCTTGCACAATTAAATCGGCGTGCAACAACAAATCTGATTAGCTTTTTTTTAACTTTCCCACAAAAATATCGGAATTTTTGTTTTATATCTAAATTTGATTCTTTTTTTCAACACAAAATCCGCTAAAAGTTTAGATATTCACGTGTACAAATTAGTTACATATTGGATTCTTATTAGGAATGAATTATGAAATAAAATAAAATTATTATTAAATAAAACCTTTTTTAGACGGCATCGATTTATATAAATTTATATAGATATTCAAAAAAAAAAAAAATACGACATTAATTAAAAAACATTATTTTTAGAATTGATTTACAACATTCATCGAAAAAAAACTGTACAATATTTTCTTGGTGTGTACAAATTAAGTTGTTAAATAATTGGAAAGAATCCCACCTTACTATTCGAATATCATGCAACTCTTCACAATATTTAATCCGCATTTATCCGATGTAATACATCAATTAATTGGACAATCTTTATCGTACGTTGGTTTATTCCTAAAGAAACATGTTTTTAGTCATGGTCAATTATATGTTGTTGTTTCATGTGTAACTAATAGAAGAAGGTTGAAGATATTAGTTTGTGATATAGAGGAGTTATCAATAACCAAACTCATAATGTTGTGCACAAGGAGGTTTTTAATAATATATGATTGTTTCGTGACGAAACAATCTTTTTTTTTTTTAAAATGTTCATATGTATTATAATTCTTTCGATCCCAATGATTACGAAATATTATATTATATTATTCTCCTGAATTCTTCAAAATTATACAGCCTCGTGCATCGCACGGGTACTGTACTAGTATATATATATATAGCTGACGGGGCAAATTATGATTGGTTTACTTTTGTGGGAGTAATTCGCAGAAATAAATCACACCTCGTACTTTATGCTGGCATAAGACAGTTGCTCTTAAAATATACATTCGTATATGTTCAGGAGAAGCTTTTAATCCCTGGTGGAACAGATCTTACCAGATTTTCCCTCTTCAGGTAATTCTTTTGCACCCTCGTTCAATTTTTGATTTCCTATGCGCGTTGATGGATCCAATTTCGAGAATTTGCTATGAATTTGCAACTCCGGCAGAAATTAGGGTTTTGGTTTCCGCGCCCCATCCGATAATTCCGATCCAGCTATAGCTTCCCGATCGTTGATGAAGTTTGATAATTTTAATTTATCACGGGATTTGTAAATTCCTTTGATTTTGCTGAAACTTGGTGGTTTTTGCAGGATTATTACGTTAGATCATTGGGTTTTGATGATCGGTAATATATACCGCGAATTTCTGAATTCAATAGGATTTGATTAGGCGGAAATGTGAAATTTTAGTTTTTTTCGAAAGCCCGTGAGTCTTCTCCCCGATAAATTATCCAAATGTCCTCTTATTTAATTATTTCACATTTCACACAATTTGCTCAAGCAATTCTTTGGGCGAATGTTTGCATTTGATAGGAAATCCTCAGCAATTTATTTTCCGCGTTTTGATTACTATTTATTTGTTGTGCAGTGGATCTCTTTTTGAGAAATCCGTTCAGTGCTTAATAGCTAATGGGGGCACCTAAGCAGAAGTGGACTCCAGAAGAGGAAGCAGCTCTAAAAGCTGGAGTCCTTAAACACGGGCCCGGCAAATGGCGCACGATACTCAAGGATCCACAATTTAGTGGAGTTTTATATCTACGGTCCAATGTCGATCTGAAGGTAATTTTTTTTTTTAATTATTTTTGTTTTCTGTTGGTGGTGGTAATGGTATTAGTTATAAAGAACTGGATCGTGAAGTTTTAGAAATTTAGTTGTTTCTGATTTCATAATAGTTTTTTGTTGGTCTCGGTTTTGGTTTTAAGGACAAGTGGAGGAACATGAGTGTGATGGCGAACGGGTGGGGTTCAAGGGAAAGGGGCAGGCTGACACTGAAAAGGATTCACCCGACACCCAAACTTGGAGAGAGCTCTATGCCTCTCTCGTCCGTAAGTCAAAGTGATGATGATTTAGTTGATTCGAGGACTCATGCTACTTCAGGAGGCTCCTCACAAAACGATGCCCCAAAGAGATCTGCCATGAGGTTAGACTTTGTATTTTACAATTTATGGCTTTCATTCCATTTTGAAGTTTCAAGATTCGGTTCATTTGTAGATTATAACCTTGNTTGAACTCTTGAGAAACAAAGGCCAGGATTTTTTTGATGAGTTTTCTTTGATATATTATGGTCTTCTTTTTCGGTATTGTGTTTCTTATGAAATAGTATGCAAGTTTGGAAGGCATGTAGCAGTTACTTTCTCGACTTGCATATTCTCATGTTGATTTATGTAGTGTTCTTTTGATTTAGACAAAATTCATTGTTGTTTAGTTGAGGTCATGTATTTGTTTAAAATGCTATCACTGACGGTGGTTATTTGTCTATGTACATGGTAATAGGCTGGATAATCTCATAATGGAGGCTATAAGAAACTTGAGAGAGCCTGGTGGTTCTAACAAGACATCCATAGCTGCGTACATAGAGGTGAGTTTTCTTCTGGTTAAGTTCATATCATATTGGATATAATGCTTTCTTTTTTTTTTTTTTCAATTTGGTTCATGTAATGTGATAGTTTATCTTTTGTTGTATATATATCAAGAACATATCTGCGATATACTATTAGAACCGGTACATTTACAAATTGCTTTATCTGGCAACAAAACAAATTATTCCATTCTAACCTTACAAACTTTTTTCCCCTTACCACAGGACCTTTATTGGGCACCTCCGAACTTTAAAAGGATATTGTCTGCCAAACTAAGACACTTTGCTGCCAACGGAAAACTTATTAAGGTTTTTCTTCTCCCTAATTTCTACAGAAGCTAATTTATCTGCTTGAAAACTGTTAATTACTTATTTATTAGCTATCATTTTTTTCAAACAGTTGAAACGAAAGTACCGACTAGCTGCACCTTCGTCTCTACCTGAGAGACGAAAGGCGCCTTCAGTTCCCATGGAAGGTAGATCGAAGATTTCCAATAGGGTTGACTTAGAAGATGTTAGTCAACGCTCGAAATCGCAGATCGATTTGGAGCTGACCAAGATGAGAAACATGACCCCCCAAGAGGCTGCAGTGGCTGCGGCTCAAGCCGTGGCTGAAGCTGAAGCTGCCATGGCTGAAGCTGAAGAGGCGGCTCGGGAAGCTGAGGCAGCTGAGGCTGATGCCGAAGCTGCACAGGCTTTTGCAGAGGCCGCTTTAAAGACACTGAGAGGAAGAAATAGTTCGATTACGGTGAGATTTTTATTTGAGATTTTTTTTTTCTCTTCATCCCCTCCCCCGAAAATCAAAAATTTAATATTTATTTTTCCAAAAGATCATAATTATCTTCCTGATAAATATTCTTAATTTTTTATTACAACTATTTTTTAGGTTCCATTTTCTGATCATAAAATTTATTCACTTTTCTAATCATAAAATTTATTTACACACTTTTTTTTGGTACTTTTTTAATGACTCGATAACTTTATTCACAGAATGTACAGATGATTCATGCGTGATGGAGTTCTAAAAGTGGCCTGCCGCTCGGAGTTCATCTTCCATTGAAGCCTAGGCGTGTGTACGGCGTTTAAGGAATTCGCTACAGTTAATGTGAATAAGATATTTTTAGGATATAATTTATGGGTGGAAGTGGGGTCTTCTTCCTCATGATTTAGGTGTATGTTAGTCCATTATAGAAACTGCTATTGGTGTGCAGATATATATATTTTTTGTGCTAAGGTAAGAAAACTGGAGAGCTCTGCTGGGGAAAGTGGAGGGTTTTTTGTAGAATAACAACGAAAATAACAATTGAAATGTTGTTTAGTGCTGCTTCTTGTTTCAGTTTTTCAGATGAAAGACAAATGTTGAGGCATGTTGTTTGTTTGTCAAAATAGTTCTTTCATTTGTCTCAACATTTTTTCATTATTTTATTTTTTTTTATCCTTGATGATCCCCAGCCCTAGGTACTCAACAGTCAACACAGTACAAACAAAGTATAAATTATAATGCAGGCTCATTTGGCAACAAGAAAAACAAAAATGACAACACGATTACAAAATTTAAACGTCTAAAACTGATGAAAAGGGAAATTTGCTTGCCTAAAATTGACAAAAATTGAACTTGGAGCGATCATTTGCCATAGTCGGAAACCTTAACTTCATTTGTCATCTATCCAAAATTAGCTCTTGGCATCTCATGATTTGTTGTTCTCACTTAATTAAAATAAAAAAATGTATATACATATATTTTAATTCAATCGCCACCAAATTATATCTTTGCATAAAATTTTGTTTTGTGGAGGATTGGTGGAGTGCAGAAATTCAAATAGATTAATTTATAATTTGTGAAAATGATGGGGCTCGAAGTGCAATTTTCATCTTCTCATATGGATGAAAATACAATTTCGAGAAAACAAGAGGCAGGAATAGAAATATTGTGAATAAATTAAAGAACGACAGAAAACACAATCATTACACTTCATTGTAGTGAGCAATAAAACCTGCAGATGTTCTGAAAATCCCAAAATTCCTTTTTTTTTACGTTTCTTTTTATTTTTCCGGTAATATTATCGCGATCTCCTCTGTAAATTTGTATGTTCATAATTCATTTGGGGCTTTCGGTCTTTCGTTTTCTATATATATCTTTGCGTGGGCGATTAAAAATGCAATGTTTGCTGGTTTTCTTCCTAAAATATTTGTCTCCGATTGTGATGATTTATCCTGTTTGCTGAATATGTGTATGCTCGCATTTTTTCGATTATAAGCAATTTGAACATAATCCATGATTGTATTTTTCTTTTCAGCCATGGATCCAAATTTTTCCGACAACGAGTGGTTGGTCGCTCGTGTTCAGCAATTGGAGAGCGGTATGCGTCCATTCATGTCAATTCGGCTTTATTTTTTCTCTTTAGTTACACAAAAATGATCGTTCAAGTTTTATACTGGGTAATGATCGTCTAAGGTGTTGTAAGGATTGATTTTTGGATATATTCATTGTCGAGAGGTATAAAGCTTGAATCTATATCTTGAGATAATAGCATATAGTGAATACTTTTTAGCATTATACCAGATATGTGTGATAATTCTTGTTTGGCGAACTCTTTGGGTAACTCTGCCTGAGATTTTGGAGGTTAGTGACTTTTAGTACCATACCTAAACTCAAACTTTTGTGTGAGGCAGCCTAATCCTTAGGCGAGTTGACCCTTCATACTTTTTTTTACAGAAATGCATACATACTTATGCTATGGAATGTCATACTTTTGGTTTTGTCATTTTTTAGAGTATGGCATTTGAGTTTGAAAGTATACATGTATGTTGAAAAAGTATGACTGTCTACCCGTTAGGCCTGCTCATATCTGGTGTGCTATTAATCTTTCCTGCAGAACGTAATGAGCTGCAGAAAGATATCGAGCAGTTGTGCATGCAACAAGCGGGCCCCGCCTATCTTGGAGTGGCCACCCGAATGCATTTCCAGAGGTGAGGTACTATTGAGTATGATATAATTTGATTTGATCCCATTGCAAGTAAAAATATGTATGATGTTTTTAATCCCTTTGGCCTCCCAAATGGTGAGATTCTTCTTACCATCCTTATTTTTATTTATTTATTTATTTATTTTTTTCCCTATAGGACTGCTGCATTAGAGCAGGAGATTGAGAGCTTGAGTAAAAACTTGGCTGCATGCACTAGAGAGAACCAAAATCTTCAAGAGGAGCTATCCGAGGCTTATCTTATTAAAGTGAGACCTCCTTTGATTTACTAGCATCTGTTTGCATGATATTTCTTTCTTTATATATATCTTACATGATGCTATTTTCAGAGCCAATTGGCCGATCTACATAATGCAGAAGTCTCAAAGGTCTCTCTCTCTCTCTCCCCCTCTCTCTCTCGTTTCGCTTATAGATGTAGTTATTTGTATCCATATGTTATCAAGATTAGCCATTTCATTTTTCTTTGTTTTCGTATTATTTGCTAATGCTCGTGCTTTCCCTGCTATACCCAATAAAAGTATGTTAATTTCAATAAACTATATATTTAGTTTGACAGCATTTTTGCTTTTGTGCCAGAATGCTGAGGCTGAGAAGCAGCTTAAATTTTTCCAAGGTTGTGTTGCTGCTGCTTTTGCCGAGCGAGATAATGCAATACTTGAGGTTAGAATTGTCTTTTCTCATGGGACTTTGCTTACCTTATTACACTCCTTTATTCCCCTGTAGTTGTTGTCTGGTGAACAGACAAAGGGCTCATTTGTGTGAGCTAATTCCCTCATTATTTATTTATTTATTTTATCTGAATGATTTTGGACAGGCTGAAAAGGCTAAAGAAAAAGTGGAGCTCATGCCACAAGAGCTGAACAAATGTCAAAGAAGGTATTTTGTGTTTAATTCTAGAAATGCCGCCCCACAGAGTACTGTTTTAGGGAAAAAGATAAAGAAAATAAATCGGAACTTTATAATTATTATGGTGTTACTTAAATTCTGTGCTCCGGACTAGGAAGTTCTGTTTCATACTTGCTGTAATAATTATGTTACTTCTTAGAACTAGATTTTTATATTTGATTTGCATTATCTTCACATATAATTTGTTTTTACTTGGTTGGTTGGCTATTACTTGCTTCTCATTACAGTGATAATTATATATATATTTTACCTGTAGGATGGAAGAGCTGAGCATTGAACTTCTTGAAGAGAAGGAACTGACCACGTCTCTCCTTATTGATTTAGGAAAGCACGAAAGGCAGATTGGGATTTTCAAAGAGGTAAAATTCTTTTACCATCTAGATTACAATTCTCTTTTCAACAAACAGAGGTGTGGTTCTTTAGTATAATCTCTGCTGAAGAAATATGTGACAGTTAAAACTGATGTGATAAGTAGGATGCAGTTCTCAGTCCATCTGCTTAAGTGCTTAACTGAAAAAAAAAAAGAAGAAAATAATGTTACACTCATGTAATTTGCCTGTAACCACTCATTTCTAAGGACATAAGTTTATTACGGTAGGTTGTTGACAAGTTTTACCACATCAGAGAATGTACTATGGGAGATATTACTGATGCAAGTTGTGAAGAGAAATGTGAACTTTTGTTGCATGATTCGGACGAGATGTGGAGGTTCCAAAATGATGAGGATGCTTCCACTTCCAATTACATTGTAAGTCCTAATGAATAATATTCTTCAACTAATCTTGTTTGAACTTATGAACTTAGATGTAACTGGTTGTTTGGTTAGTATTCGTTCCCAATTTTGATGATTTGTGAAATGCAATCATGCCTAGAACTCCATTAATTAATTGGATTCACTACGACTTACATTGCTTTTCTGGTTTTCTTATCGTAAAGATTTATCTATGCTATGCCGTTAAATATTTATCCTTTTTTACTACGACTTACATCACTTTTCTGGTTTGCTTATCGAAAAGATTGAGTTCTGTGTGAAATTTGGGTACGACCCATATGGAGAAATTAGAAATCTTACTTTTTAAACTTTACACTTTAGGTAATTTTGCTGATTAAATTTTCTTCAGACAGAATTCTCTCGAGGCAGAGATCGAGACTCTGAGGAGACGTATCGATAATTTGCAAAACAAGTTTCAAGTTGTGAGNATGGAAGTAATGAATTTATTTATGCTATATATACATGATGATATTATGAAAATCTGAGGTTTCATTTTGCTCATATTAACTCCAAACTTGTATTACACAGAAACTCGGAGCAGAGAATATCAAAGAGCAGCTATCAGCCTTAAAGCATCACCATTCTCAATACAAAAACGATATCAATAATCTACTCGACGAGGGCTACTCGGAGCTGAAATCACTTCATGAATTAGTTGTTGAGAAAATGAGCCACTTTGTACTGAGTCAGGAAAAAAGCAATTTGGAGGTATTTTTAACACAAGACGAGGAATTGCATGAAAGCGAATGCAAAGATGTGCATGTTAATGCTGATTCCAGTTCTGATTCCACCACTAAGGTACGTTTGTTATGAGATATGTTATGTGATTGGCTCATGCTTTTGATGAGGAAAGTTAAAAAATTAGAATAAAAGGAATACAACATAAAAAAAGATACAAGTACCAATCTCGTGTCATGAAAAGCTAAGGGCTTGCTTGGATATAAAAATTTTCACTTAAAATGGATTTTTTGGTTAACTAGGGTTAATTTGAAAAAATGTGGTATAGTTAGTTGTTAGTGGAATTTTGAGTTTATATTAAAATAATATTTAAAATAAAATAATTAAAGTTGATTTGATGTAAAAGTAGGAGAGAGATGATGTGAATTGATGGTTAGTTAAAATTGTGAGTAGATGAATGGTGAGTTAAAATTGATGTGATGTGTAAGAATGATTGATTAATATTATTTAATTATATTGATAATACTGAAGATAGTGAGGTTGAGTTAAACTTGAGTTGTATTGAGTTAGATTTCTAGTTTACTTCAATTTTTATTCTTTTTAATGGTGCGAGTATTGTAATCGAGAAGTTTGAATCTATTAAAATGGTAATAAAACCGCTCCAAGTTTTTTCTGTTTGTTCCTTCTCTTTTCTATTATTTTTTAAAGAAAATAAATAACATAATTTGGTGATGCCGATATGAATACGGATATAGCTACTTGGCTTTGGGCATGCACTATATTGACATATGATATAGTTTGCAAATCTTAAAAGTTAAAATATTTTTACTTTTCTTGGCAAAGAAAGCATTACGTTATGATTTACCATCCGATGATGTGTGTGAATTGAGTGTATAACTTAATATTTTCTTCACACGTTTCAGAATAATGAACATGGCTTACCGACTATTGTTGCTCGTGAAACTAGCGATACATCTGAAGCACTTGCGTTGGCATTGCAGGAGAAGGTTTTGTCTGAACAAGCTCAATCCTTCACTTTTAGCATTGTAAGAACAAATCAAAATAAAAAGTTGCGGGTTTTCTCTGTGTTCAGGTCGAGGCGTTATTACTTTTATCTCAGCAAGAAGAAAGACACCTACTTGAGAGGAATGTAAATGCAGCTTTGCAGAAAAAGGTCGAGGAACTTCAGAGAAATTTACTGCAGGTAAATATTGCATGTCTTCGTACTAAATTAATTCAAAATTCTCATCTTTTGACGACCACTTGGATAAATTAATCAAAAATTGTCTTTAGAATTCGTATCTTGTGATGGATAATTTTCCTCACCTTTTACCTTTACTTTGATCGTCTTTAATTGGTTGTAGGTTACGAACGAAAAGGTTAAAGCTCTTATGGAGCTAGCGCAACTGAGGCAGGAACAATTTTCACTTCACGAGTATGTCTTATTTATTTATTTATTTTTATAAATTACATCTTGCACTCAGTTTAAAAAATGGTCTTTCCCGATCGTAACTCTTCAAACTATTATGAAAATCAACGCGTGAATTCGTGCAGAAAGAGCCGTCAAGAAAGCGTACAAGGAAAGCCAGCGAGTGAAATATCCGGAGGAGAGATAAAAGCTGGTCAGGAAAAAGACAGTAAACTGAAAAATTTACTAAGGAAAAGTTATTTAACACGATGGGTGGGAGGTTCAGAAGGAAGTGGTGCTGATACGCATCACATGGACTTTGCAAGGTTCGTGGGATCATTATTATCCTTTGGTCCTTGGGTTAAGTTTAATTACCAAAAGAAAAAAGAGAAAATAAATAAATTAATTAGAAGTAACGTTCTTTGTTTCGGTCCTTATTTCCCATTTTGTGTGTGCAGGATGAAGATTGAAAATGCGACCCTTAAGGAGAGCTTGGAAAGCATGGATCATCTACTCTCTTCCGTACGAAGACTCCGGATTTCACTTTTCAAGGTAGCTTGCTCGTCTTTGATTTTCTCCCTTTTTCTCTGATGGCCGGAAAAATTAATAAAAGTCGTTTTCGAACACTTAGACTATGTTTGGTAAACCTAACATAACTGATATTTTAAGTGAATTTCGAGCTTATAGCTGATTGCTTATGATCTATGTCTGAAAAGCTAACTTATATGATAAAAGTGTTTGTGGTAAGATTAGCTCTGAAATAAAAAATTCAATGAACTTATTTGAAAAGCTATCCCAGGAAACTTATTAGATAAACTCGAGCTTTTAAAGAAAAGAAAAAAACTCATCCAACCAAACCAAGCTTATTTAAATACATGAAGCTTATAAGCTAATCAAATAAACTATAAGCTAGCTTATATTCTTACCAAACACATCAGCCTAATCACACATTACTATAGTTATTTTCTCTAAAACTTGCGAAGAAAACCCTCGGGGCAAGTGATCGTTTTTTTAAGATTTCAGTGCCCCTCAAGAGTCGAGAACAATCTTTTAGTTTCATATTTATTTCAAAATGAAATTTACCGAAACCACAAAAACTAAACATGTTTATCTCAACTGCATATGATTCTTTGTAGGTAAAAGATTCATCTAATATGCCGTCAAGTGAAATCACGAGCTACTTGTCTACTATGATTGACCAAATCATAGCCGAGGCCAACCTCGTAAGGACAGCCCTCGGCAGCTCAATTCCCATCAGCTGGTCAGCCGAAGCTGACCAATCGCACGATGGCTCGGGTTTCGAAAAGCTGGATTTTGTCTCGGCTGTTGGATTCGAGATGGTGGAGCTCTTGATATTTGCTGCTCAGGTCCTTAGGGACCAAATTTCCTTAGGCACCAAGGGGTCGAAATTGGAATAATGCAAAAACTTGCGTCTTTTTTGGTTTCGATCAGGAGATTTGCTGAAATCTTTTGCTGTTCTTTTCGGTGATAAAACGTAGGGGTGTTTGTTTCCATTAACGGTTAGACTGACTCATACAAAAGTTTGTTTGCGTTTAGGTTTACAGTTATTGGAATAACTATTGGATGAAAGAATTCCATTTGACAAGAACAGAACCATTTATGTTGTTCTGTATGATATAGAAACAAAATTACACTAACCACACAAAATTAATGTATTACTTAATCTTTTCTAAGTAAACAAATTGTTCTTAAAGAAGACTTAAATAGAATTATTTTTTGANAATTTTTAAATTGATTATAAATTGGCGTAATTTTATATAATAATTTGTTGGCATTTGTTCCATTAAAATTGCTTTTGCTAACTTCGGATGTACTATTTTTTAAAAAATAAAAATACATCAGTGAAGTTACATTTTATATGAAGCCTTAATCTGTTATCATTAAAATGTTTTGTATTAAAAATCCTGTGAGCTCGTACTCTTCTTTAAACGTAATGCTCTTAGTACTAAAGTGTTATTTAATACTATAAGAAATAAACATATACGGGCATTTGGTCTAGTGGTATGATTCTCGCTTCGGGTGCGAGAGGTCCCGAGTTCGATTCTCGGAATGCCCCCATGCCTCACATTTTCATTCTCTCTCTCTATTTTTTGTTTTATTTTAATTTTATCTTCCACCGAGTGAAAAAATCGGGTCCCACCATAGAACTATTTCAAAATAAACGTCATAGCATATAATATAATAATTAGTATAAATACAAATGCTCAAATACAAAGCTTCTGCAAAACATGAATAAATCTTGAATTTTATGTTTTCGTACTAGTTATAAAGATCCGGGCTTTCACTCTCCATTAATATTCGTTCCTACTTTAACTCTATATTTAAATAGTCAGAAATCCGAACAAGAATACTAGTTATTTTTAATAAGGATGCATAGAAAATAAATAAATACATATTGGAATTACAGGAATGACCGTGCACATTGCTGGCTATTTTGGAAAAGAGAAGCCAAATCAGGGGTTTTTTTGAACTGTAAACTAAACGAGAAAGAAGAATGCTTCGGACCTTGATAAACTTACGTTCATCAAGAATATGCATTAGAAAGTAATTAGTAGGAACAATTTTAGATATCGTAACAATCTTGGGAGTTTCAGGTTTCATTTTTCAAGTGTTGGCGAAAGAATATGATCATATGCTAAGAACTCCCAGATGAATGAGTTGAACAATATATATATATATATATTTACCTCTTTATTACATAATAATTACTCAATATAGGCTGCAAGCTGATAACACAGCGAAAAACCCTTGGATAGACAGAATACTAAGCAGATCATTGCTATTGTTATTTATTATTTCCAAAAGGTCAGAAGAACAAGTATATAATACATTACAAAAAGTACAATTGATAGTAATCGAATTGGGCATTTGGTCTAGTGGTATGATTCTCGCTTTGGGTGCGAGAGGTCCCGAGTTCGATTCTCGGAATGCCCCTCTTTTTTCCTCTTTTTGTTCCCTTTACATTTTTAAAGATTGACCATCTCTTTTCCGGCGAATAATCAAAGAATTTCTGTATACTATGAAGCTTTGATCATTAAGAAAATAATCAAAGATGAACAAAATATTTCTATGTTACACATAGTTCTTATATTTCTCAGTTTTTAGTTAATTATTTATGCTATTTTCTTTTGTTTTTAATTGAATATTCATATTTTTTTAACAAAAAAAAAAGGATTGATAAGTTTTTTTTATTTATCCCTCATTTTTGTAATAGCATGCCACATTTATTTTCTTTCCATAAATTTTATTTGGCATCATGTATCATATACAAAACCAATAATAATTTCCTTTTTCATATCCAATAAGCAACTATTTATATATCAATATTAATGTAAATAAATTATTCCTAAAGCTTTCTTATGAATAAATTATGAATATATAATGTGATAAAATAGATAAAATAAATTCCTAAAGTATTGAACTAGTTTTGTTAATAATATAAAACTAGTTCAAAACTAGTTCAAAACTTCAGGAATTTTTATAGTCTTGAACTAGTTTTGTTAATAATATAAAAAGTAATTTATATAACTATTTGAAACGTCAAATCAATGAGTTTAAAATAATAAATCAACGAGTAGTCTATTGAATCATGAGGCAAATCACTGACTTAGAAATAAAAATCACAATAATAATAACATGCATTTTTTAATTAAAAAAATAGTATCTCTAACTTATTAATGTAAGACTTCAAATATAATTACCAAGAATATAAATAAAAAAATATGAAAATGTAAAGAAATTAAGGTGTAAAAAGAGATGAAAATATCAGTAAATTTTTGTACTGCACATCGGTTATAAACATATAAAATTATATAAAAATATCTTTATATAAATGAAAAATGAAAGATTTAATTTTTTATATTTTACTTAGAGTTTTTAATTGATAAATTTAAATCTTTCGGGCTCATATTTGATGAGTATAGTATATCATTCAAGTCAGAATTTATAGTTGACATATCTTTTCAGTTTTCACTATTAAGTTAATATAAACTAAACGGGTATTTATTCGGGATATTTAAAGTTTATTTTGGATATTAACAATTTATTTATCACTTGTATTTGTCTGAATTTTGTAAAACCTACTGAGATATAAAAAATAAAAAAATACACGAAATTTTATGTCAATCATATCTCTAGGCCCGATAATTTTAAGGATTATTTATAAATTTGAAAATCTTAGAGCATCTCCAATTGTAATGTGAATCCATGTAGGAATAATGTTAAAAGTATCTCCAATTCATCAATTTGATATGAAGTTATTTGTATAGGTGGACCAATTAAAATAATCATTAATACAAGAACAATAAAAAATTAAATCAAATATAAAGCGAATTGATTAGTCATCATGTTTAACATGGAAGTGTGTTCAACATTGTCAATATTAAATGCTATTCACCTCATCATGAAAGAGCTCATGACAAGATACATTGGAAAATAAATTAATAACACGATTTCAAAAGTTGATGATATGATGAATTTTTATAATGTCAAAAGCCACATTAGAGATACTCTTAGGGAGACTTAGAGCAACTCCAACCGTACCTCAAACCCAAACGCATCACCAAAAAATCCTCCAACCGATACCGAAACGCAAACCCAAAATGAGTTTTGATCCGTTTCTCTTTCCTCCAAACTGCATATTTGCGTTTGTACTGTTCACATACGCAAATCTTTTTTTATTTGTGTTTTGGCCCTTCTATTTTCAAAAATGAAGTTTTAGTTTATTTATCAAAATTTATGGTTTGTCTATAAGTTGTTATTTTTCTATATAAATTATAATATAAGTATGTAAAAATTCATTAATGAAATTTTTTATATAAAATTTTAATATAAATGTATAAAAAAATAATGAACAAAATATATATATTTATATATATATATATATAAATATTTTGTGTAGGCATAAAGTTGATATTTTTTTAAAAATACTGAAAAATTATTTATGATAGAGCAAAATGTGTAATATATTAATATGTGATAAATAGTTTGACAAATAATATGACTATAAATAATTTTTTGTTTTTTTATGCTCTAAACCATATATGGACTAGTGTATAAATTTGCACTAATTCATATATGGTCTAAACCATTTATGGTCTAGTGTGTAAATTTGCACTAATTCATATATTTTCAAAAGTAACAGTTTTGAATCGGTACATAGATGTATATGTATCTTCTTTAAGAAATTCAATTTATTACAATTTATTTTTAAAATAAATAAAAAAATAATATATTTAATGTAGAGTAAAATGTAGAGATAAGGGCTGAGATGAATGTTCAACTCTACTCTAGAGTAGAGTAAAGTCCGCGCTAGAGTAGATATAAGGGCTGGAGATGGCCTTAGTTTATTACATAAAGTCCAAATTGAATTGAAAATAATAGTGTGGTTTAATTTGTAAAATTGTAAAATATGTGGGTAGTATTTCAAAGTTGTAAAAGTTGATGTAAAAGAGAATATTTCGAGAATATTCTTTTGGGTTGGAGAATGAGTTTTTCGGTTGGAGATGAATTACTGCAAAATGAGTTTGAGTATGGAGTATTCGGTTGGAGATGGTCTTATATTTCAAAAAGTTTTCAAATTGTCACTAAAAATTTCAAATCAAGTAATTGTTCATATTAAAGAAATGAAGATCGCATCATTGCAGGGTTCAATTACAAATATAGACCAAAGCGCTCAAGAATAAATTTGTTGGTCGTTGTGCATTTTATACCCTTCACATCTGTTCTTTTTATAATAAACTTTTAACCTCACATCCTATATATTTGATAGATAAATTAATTTAATTGTACTTTCTTTATGTAGTAACTGTATCCTTTTTGTAGTTTGGTTAGTGTTTCTGGTGCAGCTTTAGTTCATGGTTTGCTTTAGTTCTCTTTTGTTTAGGCCACCTTGTTTTGTACCTCCTTTGCACCCTTGTGCTCGGTTTTTTTGGCTGCTTGCCCTCTTGTACTTCTTTGGAGTTATAAAATCTATTGTTTCGNAAAAAAAAGGATTTTTACAAAGGAAGATTTAATAAAAATTCGAATTAGAGTTAAGATTTTGAGAAAAAAAATTCTAAATCTTTGCAAAATGCTTAAAATTTAAATATTTTCAAGATGCTTCCGATCAAAAGAAGGCTTTATAATAAAGTTACAGGTACATCCCTCCCTTATTACGTGGTTTATAATATAGTTACTGATAAGAGTCATATGATATTTATTATACATCCTCCCTTATTACGTTTTTGCCTTAGTATTCTTCCTTGTCTACATGGTTAGTATTGTGTTAAGCCGGTCTAATCATTACGCCGACATGTTCTTACTACAATGATGCATACTTTTATATATATAAAAAAAAATAAAAAAAAAAATCATACTTTAAAATCATATATATACATAACACATGTATATTAAATATAAAATTTTCAATAATATGACCAGTCGATCCAAAACAATTAAAAGCCTTACATAAAAATTTGTAAAACAAAATTGCAATAAGAACAAAAGTGTGATATTTGATATATAGAGAACAAATGAAAGTATTGATATATGGAATGGAGAATGACTTGGGAACCAATCCCAACACTAATATATCCTGTAATTTATGTTTAGTTTTGTTCCTCTTCTTCAGGGCAAGAAGAATGATTAAACAAACAGCAAATAAACTCCAGAAAAATCAAGTCAGAACTTGTCAAGTTTGGCAACAAAAAAAATATTTAGTTTATTATCAAACTTGCCCAATTTTGGCAAAAACCATTAGCAATACCCAAAAATGTCCAACATATTCACTCCACCTTCTGTATATTTTGCTCATATTCACCCCATCTTATTTACATTTTTCAATTTGTTTGATCCTCTCTACAAGAAACCACATACCAAAAGAAACATGCTTACCAAAACTAAACAGAAACATTAAAAACAGAAACCGCGGAAAAACGTGCCCAAACATCATCAATCATAAAAAAACATCAACAAAGTTTTTAGAAAGCGTTACGGTAGAACAAAGTTTTGGGAAATTTTCAGGTATACTTACAGATTTTTAGATAATTGCAATATTATCATCTATACCAATTAAATTGTGTATATACCTAAAAAATAAATATTAATTATAATCATGCCTAAAATCTTGGGAAATTTTCAGGTATACTTACAGATTTTTAGATAATTGCAATATTATCATCTATACCAATTAAATTGTGTATATACCTAAAATATAAATATTAATTATAATCATGCCTAAAATCAGTTACAAGGTAAGTGAAACAACTTTCCATGTTCCTAGCGCCTAATTTCAGGAAATCGGACAAAGAGTACGAAATTTCACGAAATCTTCGTCGCCTATATATATTGCTTTAACATATACTGCAAATTTTTGCCCATTTTCCATGGCTTAGTTGCGGAAGGTAGTTTACAAAAAAAGATTGAATCAGAATACAAAATTTGTTAACGAACTAAAGTAATGGCGAAAATCAAGTCATGAGTCATCGAAATGAAGGAACTCGAAATGTGCTTTTGGAGTCTTTTCACTATTTAGTTTAATTTAATAAAAATAATTTTTAATAGATTATTTATTGTATATTTTTTATAAAAATAATACATATTTAGAAAAATAATAAGTCATGAGTCATCGAAATGAAGGAACTCGAAATGTGCTTTTGGAGTCTTTTCACTATTTAGTTTAATTTAATAAAAATAATTTTTAATAGATTATTTATTGTATATTTTTTATAAAAATAATACATATTTAGAAAAATAATAAGTTATAGTGTGGCAAGACATACATATTTATACTGTGCTGTTAATCCAAATATCTTTTATGGGGTCGTTTGTAGAACTCTTCAAAACTTTCCTAAAAATAACTTTAAAAGTTGTTTTGAAACATTCCAGTATCATTTTGCATACTTTGACATTTTAGGAAGATCATATGCGACTCCAACAATATCATCAATCTTGTAACACATGAGCAATATATTGCAACACGTGAGACACGACGATCTATACATATAAAAAGACTAAGATAAAAATATATGTAACTTTTCCTCTAATTTTTCAAAATAATAAAAAATTATATTTATTATTTTTATTTTTAGATTTATTCACTTCTCTTATTGTTTATTTCTATGCAATGTTTTAAACTTGTTCTGATTATTCATAAAATTTGATTTGTAGGTTAACGGGTCAATTGCATACCTTATAGCTATTTTATTCGGTTAAAAAAATATGTATTCTTATTATTTGTAATATAAATAAAAGTAAGAGAAATAATTAGTTTACATATAACTATTTGATTTTGAATCTCGATCTTATTGCTTTGTCATTACATCATAGTATGGGATGTAAATTCCTCTACTATTTATTACATGAGTTATAAATAAATCTTAATCAACAAAATAAATATTCAAAAATTTAAAAAAAAAATGTTTGGGTCACACGGATTAATTGTGGTAGGTTAATATTTTGGGTCAACCTGATAACTAGATCATTAATTAAATAATATGCAACCATGAGCAGACTCTGATTACATTATGAGGTCACTTTGTTATGTGTTAAACGCAATTTTAAACCAAGAACATTGTTTACAATAAAATATTCAATAATCTATGATTTTTATATAGCTTTATTACTGTTTTTGTTGACCAAATGATGTTGTAGTACAATTTTTAATATTACTTCATAAATTATGTTTGTTAAATTTTTAAATATAATTTCTATCTCTCTTCCATATGCATCTCATGATTCACACAAGACACATGGATATGTACTTGTATTAGACTTTGACCTCATCCCTTATATATAATTCTCAAATATGCTGAGCCCTAGATAACAGATTTGCACGCTTCGAGGTCATATGTGACAAATTTTCATGCTTTGTCGTTAGCTTGGATAGATTTTAAATTTTCACTGCCTATTATATTTTCATTAGAATTGATAAATAATTTATTTTTATTTATAAAGGTAGATATAATTTTTTATTTTATATATGCAATATGAATATCAAATTAAAATTTGTGAAAAAATAATTAAATTTCAAAATATGTGTTTAATAATTTCAAGATATCTAATAGACATTAATTAAAAGCCACATATACATGAACTGAATCAAACCTCAAAAAACTCAGAGTCCGGACTATGAAGCACAAATACTTGACAGGTAAAAAAATATTAAGTACTTGAAGTTAACATTTTGACTTGAGAAACTCATTTATATTACGAGTATATAAAAGAAACAAGTATGAGATTATTACAACAAAGTATTTTGAAAACGAGTTTTGAGTTTTGACATATTGCTACAAAGTATTTTGAGTTTTGACATATCCTACTGCCCCAATTAACACAGCCAATTTTGAAAAATCATACGAATTTACCTTTGATCCACAATTTCATCGAAAACGAGCAGTAAACTTCACTATTCATTCCCTTCCGAAACAATCATATATGAATATCTTCAATGTCAGTTACGAGTTGTGAAGTATTATTGGATTTCTTAACTACTAACTGACCGCATGCGCCACTTATGTCTCGGCCCATCTGCTTACGAATTGTGGTTCGAATATTGTAAGTTCCCCTGAGTATTCTCTGGAATTTCAACACCTTATCATCATCACTTGTTCTGTATGTACTTAGAGAACCAATTGGATTAAAAGGTATCAAATTCACAACCTGTCAGAAGCAGCAGAGGATGACATAAATACACACAATTGAAGTTTTTCTTTAAAAAAAAAAAAAAAAAAAAAAAAAAAAAAAAACAATTTATTGTTACAAATTTACGACAGTTTCGAAAGATATTTGTGTGTATGTGTTAAGGTTATACTTGAATTCGAGTGGTAATATTTGTAAAAATCCCTACGGAAAAATGATACGAATTTAGAGCTTACAGATTGAAATGTCTCTAGCAATTTGCCAAGCTGGTGAGCATGCTGCTCCTCGTCGTTCACGCCATCAAGCATTATGTACTCGATAAATATTTTTTGCTGACTACAAAAAAAATCCCAAATGAAATTTTCCGAATGTAATCCCAAAAATAGTGTGAAAAAGCAGAGTTTAGAAGGGCGAAAGCATAACAAACCTGCTATTTTGATATTCTCGCAATGCATTCATTAGTTTTTCCAGAGGAAAGGCCCTTGCAGCAGGCATTATTTGACATCGAATGTTTTGAACTGGCGCGTGCAATGAAACTGCTAGGTTCAAGTTTGGTAGGTCCTTTTGTAGCTTGCCAATAGCATGGATTATGCCAACCTGCAAAAGTCATGATTTAGGAAATAGTAACCAAAAACAAAAAGAAAGAAAGAAAAAATGATTATTATGAGAAAAATATGTCATGTACCGTTGAGACGGTAATTTTCCTTGGTGACAGCTGAAATGGAGGAGCTGTCATAACTCTGATAGCTTCAACCACTGCATTGTAGTTATTTAATGGCTCCCCCATTCCCTACTCATCAGCACAACTTTAAGAATGTTCCCACATGGCTAATAAAACTACAATATAATGTTGTTACTTTTTTTAAGTCAATTCGGATACTATTCTAACTCAATTTCAAACGCACAGGAAAGACAAAAAATGCCCTTTACAAGTAGAGGATTATCAACCACAGAATGTGTTCAACAAACAAATATTCTACAACTCTAGCAAGCAAAAGAGAAAACCAAATTCTGAAGCAAACCTGAAAACGATAGCAAGTTAACAACTGGTCTACTTCAACATTTGATGGTTACCTTGTTTCATTAGTCCAAAAATTTGTATAGTCAGCCTAACATAAAAAGGCAAGGTTTTCTACTGTTGAAGTACACATATTGCTACCAGACAAATGAACAACAAATTTAAGAAAATCTTTTAGAAATACAGACTGAAGCATAACATATTGTGGAGATATCAACCAATTAGCCTGCAATGATCTCGAACTTACTATCTTATACCGATTTTTAGAAAACCGCCCCATAATAGGTCCGTCCTTAATGGAAATTGTGAAAACAGAACAAAACATATCAAATGCCAAATCGCTAATCCATGATAAAAACTTTCAAGAACACATCTAAAGGCCTTCAAACTCATGAAGTTACATACTCACAATCCTTGAAAGCTCACCAAAAAAAAAAAAANGCTCACCAAAAAAAAAAAAAAAAAAATATCCATCAACAGCCACTTATTCGCTTGAATAATTCAACTGGATATTAACATCCATTTATCCAAAAACGAGGGGCGTACAATACCATAAACACAATATTGCGTATAGTTGATATGCGAGAGGCGTGCACCAATTGCTCCACAATTTCCCCCGAAGAAAGATTGCTCTTGAACCCCATGCTCCCTGTCGCACAGAAGTTGCAACCCATTTTGCATCCAACCTTTAAAAACCCACAAAGAAGCCATAAACATCATCAACACATTTGATTTAATCAAATGTCTTCAAATGATTTGAAGACATTCAACAAGAACTCACAAATAAGACATTTGAACTGGCAACAATATATATACCTGAGAAGATATGCACAGGGTTGCCCTGGGACCACCCGGACGAGGCTTCCCATCGTATTTACCTAACCGCGAATCGTATCTCATTATCACGGCCTCCACAAATTCACCATTCTAACAACAAAAATGGAGGTCAAAGCTAAAAATATACAAAGCAACACCTATATAGTTCTAAGCACCAAAAAGACATCTCCTTTTTTTCCCTTTTGGCGCAATAATGACGCACATTCTATGTTATTACTACATAATTAGTCGAAAAAAGGGAAGCATACATCGCACCAAATTCGTACAAGGCACTACTGCCATTTTCTCGAACCTGCAATTTTATGAGGAGCTTCGTGGTGACATCGTCGGAAGAATTTACGGCGGAGTGAAGAGCGGAGGTGCAGGGTCTGAACTTGGAATTGAGGAGAGGGTAGGCTGACGAGGGTAGAGAGGGGATTTCGTCCCACTGGCAATTGGGGTTTTTCAAGACGTGTTTCCAGATGAGGGGGGCGAAATTAGGGTTAACTCCGACGGCCTCGAGGTCGGCTTTAATGGCTGAAGCATCGAACGCCGATTTGTAAGCCATCGGCGAAAGTATGCTCTGTGAGCTCGCAGTTTTGAAGGGATTGCTGTAAAAACCTTGTCGAATTTGCCCTATTTTTATCGTTACACAACTTATTTATGTTTAAAGAAGGCGCATAGCAATTTACGGATGACACTATTTAATGCCCCATTTTACTACTCACCGTCCCTTAGATGATTTTGTCCTTTTCATTTTTCCTAAACATCAAATTCGGAGGTACGAATTTTTTTGTGTTCGGCCGCCGGAACCGGACAGCTTTTAGCCCGTCCGGCCGCTGGAACTGGACGGATCATAAGCCGTCCGGCCAAACTTTTCAGACGGGTTAAAAATCGTTCGAAAAGTTCGGCCGGTCGGACGGGCTTTGACCGAACCGGCCGGCCGGACGGCTTAAAAGCCGTCCAAAAACGACGTCCGGTCGGAACCGGTCCGTCCTGTTCTGCCGGCCGGACAATTTTTTTATTTTTTTATTAAATTATTATGTTATATATTCGAAATAATTATGTTATAAATTGGACTATATTATTATGTTATAAATTATTATGTTACATTTTAGACTTGATTATGCTATAAATTGGACGTTTATCATGTTACGAGTTACAAATTATTATGTTACATGTTGATTATAATATAAATTGGACGTTAGATATTATCGTGTTACGAGTTAGAAATTATTATATTACATGTCAGTCTTGGTTATGTTATAAATTGACGTTAGATAGTATCGTGTTAGGAGTTACAAATTATTATGTTACATGTTGATTATAATATAAATTGGACGTTAGATATTATCGTGTTACGAGTTAGAAATTATTATATTACATGTTAGTCTTGGTTATGTTATAAATTGACGTTAGATAGTATCGTGTTAGGAGTAACAAATTATTATGTTACATGTTATAGTTGATTATATTATAAATTGGACGTTAGATATTATCGTGATCGTGTTAGGAGTTACAAATTATTGTGTTACATGTTAGACTTCATTATGCTATAAATTGGACGTTAGATAATATCATGTTATGAGTTACAAATTATTATGTTACATGCTAGAATTAATTATCTTAATTTAACACGTTCTAAAAATATAAATATTGTACTATATAGCAGAAGTCATGGGAAGATTTTGGAGGAAATGGTGTTGATTACAGTCTGCGTTTCGATACTTGTACATTATTTAATAGTGCTCAGGACGCTATTGAAGCTGCAAAACACCAGGCAATGTTGAATGGTTTCCTATTAATAATTTCGAGCCACAAAAAGAAAACGGTCAGGCTTTTGAAGTGCCATAGAGGCGAACGGTACAGAGGCACAGGCAGAAATTCTAGAAAGACAAAAACGAATAAATGCGGCTGCAATTTTGAGATCAAAGTACAAAAAGTGTCCGGCGCTCCATACTGGAGGATCTGTAGATGTAGCAATGAAGAGAAGGGCTACCATAACCATACATTTGTTGTGTATCCTGAGGGTCATCGCCAGTTGAGCGGCCTCAACGCTTCATCTAAGAAAATTGTTCGTGATATGACGGACGCTCAGGTGGCCCCGGCAAAAATTATGGCCGCGCTGAAGGAAAAGAATCCGGGAGACAACGTTCATATGCGACAGGTATATATATTTATATCTTCTAATATATGTTTTAATTAACTTTTTGAAGTTAATTATGATAATTAGTAATTTTTTATATGTAAAAGTTATTGTAATAATTAATAAATTTTATTATATTTACTAATGTATTATTATTGTGATAGTTAATAATTTGTTTATCAAATTAAACGCATTAATATACTTTTTATTTATTAATATAATAATTTTTTGTTTTAAATTATAATAATCATTATAATTAACGCTAATCGGTGACAGGTATATAACTTTAGAGATAAGCTGCGGAGAGAGAGTTCCGACGGTAGAGACGTTCCTTCCCAGCTTATGCATTTGGCCGTGAGCAGCGAGTATACAGTTTATGCAGAATCCGATCCGAACACAAAAGTGTTGACGCATATATTCATGGCCCATCCTGCGTCGATCAATCTATTCCGAACATATTACTGGTATGTCGGCATAGATTTCACGTATAAAACCAACAGGTATGTTACTTTATAAATACTTTATTAGTTTGAATCTCAAATAGTGTGTTTGATTAAGTAAACTTTTATTTGATTATATATTTTGTCTTCTTAGTCTCATTTGCACAGGTACAAGATGTCGTTGGTCGAGATGATTGGGATGACGCCGTGCAACCAGAACTTCCTAATTGCGTATGCGCTCATCAGGGAAGAGAAAGATGCCAGTTATGACTAGGTTCTAGAGAAGTTGAGACTACTGATAGGCCAAAACGTATATCCTTATGTTGTTGTCAGTGACAGAGAGTTGGGTTTACTCACTCCTATTCAGAGGCATTTTCCTGAATCAGCCCACTTACTCTGCACGTGACACATTAACAAGGATGTGGAAGCCAGAGCCTACAAACTATTTGGGAAGAATAAAAAATTCTCGGAGATTTTCACGCATAGTACGTGGAAGGCGATTGCAGAGGCCAGTACGTTCGATGCCTACACCGATGCCGTTGCCGAGCTGCACGCAAAATATTCGAAGTCTCCAGAGGTGATACGGTATGTGGAGGGCACATGGTTAGGGCACCGCGAGAAGTTTGTGAAGGCTTGGACCAACCGAGTGACACATTTTGGAAACACAACTTCCTGTAGGGTGGAGAGTGCCCACTCTGTGTTGAAGGAGTGGCTTCAGACGTCCACCGGCGCGCTCGATACAATTTGGCAGAAGATTAATAAGCACATCGATAATCAAGCGACTGAAATCAAGTACGTACTGCAATTTTTAAATGCGTTATTATATTACTGCATTAATTAATTATAATCTAACGTTATGTAACGTATTATCAGGACGGCGCTTGAGGCCTCGAGATCTAAGAAGAATACACGGTATAAGGGAATCCTTTTCGCGAGCGTGATACAGAGGGTCTCGCATTACTGTCTGAGTTTATTGGACGCTGAGCTTACGAGGATGATCGACTTGGACGCCGATGTTTACACTAGCTGCGGCTGTGTATTGCAGTTCACTCATGGACTTCCTTTTGCCTGCCTGCTCTGTAACGCAGTTGATTTCGACATTCCGATTGATCTCGGAATGATTCACCAGTTCTGGAGAACGCTACAGATATTAGAGCCAGGTAATCTAAGGTTAATGTTTTATTTATAATTTTTTATTAAAATACATTATTTGGTTTAATTCATTGACTCTTTTATCGTATACTTGTAGGGACTGGTCATCTGAGCCAGGCGAGCCAGGCTGCATGGTCAGATGCGGAGTTCTTTCAGACGCTTGTGAGTGAGGTTGAAACCCGCGATCCCGCGACGATGCGGTACGTGAATCAGTTCATGTACAGTCATCATTACCCAGACCAACAGGATTATGGGGAACCTGAGGTTAAGAAAGACCCGCGAGGTCGTCCCAAGAAAACTAATTCAACTAAGCGTGAACCATCTGCTTTTGAGTACAACGATAGATCGCAATATCGGAAATCGAGCCGTACGACCACTTCTTCGCATGGACAGACAAGTTCGTCTTCTCAACAGTCACAAGGGGAAACAGGTCATACATTTTTTTTTAAATATGGCTGAGCGTTAATTAAGGTATTTATATGATTATATAAATTGTGACGTGAAATTATTATGATATTTATTGCAGAGTTTAGACCGACAAATATATTTGGATTTTCAATGTGGCAATCAATCCCCTGGCATATGTTGGACTACATAGTGAGTTACCTGAATGTGGATGCGGATGGTGCGGATTTCGGGTCATCGCGAGTCACATGTATGGTCACCAGAAGTACTAGGCAGAAGCAAGAGAAAGCATTGCGAAGGAGGTCGACAGCCACCCTGAATTGTACGAGTACATCTATTTTAGAGATATCGAGGCCGGACTCCGTCGCATAAGGTGGGGCAAGGGCCCTTGTGGACGGACTCACTGGTTCGAAGTTCCACAGGACCTCTATGCCGTTGCGACCTTATTTAATGTGGTTGTCATTCATTTGAGCTCTGGTGCACAAGGTGGGCAGCACAACTTATTCAGCATCACAGTGTTGCCTCTCACTGCACGATCATCGGCTAGAGGACCATGTCGTGAGATTGCCATTTTCCATCTTGGTACCGTAGTACACTACATTCGTTTAGATTTGACTGACGATTGTCCATTACCGCCTATTCATTCCATGTTGTTCCGTTACCGAGATCAATCGGTTGTGGGTTGGGAGGATCAGTACGAGTCTAGGTTGCCATTGTGGTATACTGTTCAAACAAAACCTTCTTGAATAAAAGAACGATATTATTCACTTGTGGTGTGACGCTTCTCATTCAACTTAAGTTTAGCAAATAAAAAAAATAAATGAATTAGTTCAACTTAAGTTTAGCAAAAAAAAAAAAAAAAAAAATCATTCAACTTAATGTTTTACAATAATAATTAAAAAAAAACATTCATTACATCATTATTGGGCATTGTCGTAATCCAACTTAAACTTAGCCAGCTGTTCTTCGACTTCCGCCGCCACCGGNGCNNNT